ATCTCCCTATTTATCTATTTATGTATGTATCTATCCATTTATGTCTGGATGATGTTTTATTGGTGAGCGAGGGGGTATTGATGGTTCCCATTATCAATGTGTGAGGGTCAAGATATGATTTAGCTCCATTATTTCTTCTGTCATTGATATGGGTTCCCTTGTGTTTGAGGCATAGATGTTAAGAACTGAAATGCCATCTTGGTGAAATTTTCTTTTGATGGCTATTTAGTATCTTTCCCTATCTCTTCTGAGAGTAAAATGTTCCCACTGGTCAACCTTCCAGACCAGATTATGGTAACACACACCTTTAATCCCAGTAACGCAATGACACACAGGTTTAATCCCAGTAGCCACACTTGTCAGTGTAGGACTCGGGTGGGACAAGCCTTTAATCACTGTAGTACACGCCCTTATTCCTAGCACTAGATAGGAATATAAGAGAGGGGAAACAGCTCTGAACCACAGTCTCATGCTGCGGTTCCTGGAGGCAGGATCGCCATTTCAGTCTGAGGTCCAGGTAAGAGTGACTGGCTGGCTGCTTTACTTTTTAGATCTTCAGGTAGAACCCCAAATTCCTGATGTTAAGATTTTATTCATCACGCTTCGCCTTGCTTTTAGATTTTTCAAAATAGATAGAATACAGGTTTTTAAACTATGGCCTCTTTAGTTAGTCCCCTGGATTCTTAATGTCTATTAATTATATATTTTCATTTTTTAAACTTTTTTTTATTGAGAAAAGTAGAAAAAAAACCAAGTTTCCTCCTCCTCCCAGCCTCCCATTTCCCTCCCCCTCCTCCCACCCTTCTCCCCCTCCCCCAACTCCTCTCCCCCTCCCTCTCCAGTCCAATGAGCAGTCAGGGTTCCCTGCCCTGTAGTAAGTCCAAGGTCCTCCCCTCTCCGTCCATATCTAGGAAGGTGAACATCCAAACTGGCTAGGCTCCCACAAAGCCAGCACATTACATAGGTTCAAAACCCCGTGCCATTGTCCTTGGGTACTCATCAGCCCTCATTGTTCGCCATGCTCAGAGAGTCCAGTTTTATCCCATGCTTTTTCAGTCACAGTCCAGCTGGCCTTGGTGAGCTCCCAATAGATCAGCTCCACTGTCTCAGTGGGTGGGTGCTCCTCTCGTGGTCCCGACTTCTTTGCTCATGTTCTCCCTCCTTCTGCTCCTCATTGGGACCTTGGGAGCTCAGTCCAGTGCTCCAGTGTGGGTCTCTGTCTCTGTCTCCATCCATCACCAGATGAAGGTTCTATGATGATATGCAAGATATTCGTCAGTATTGCTATAGGATAGGGTCATTTCTGGTTCCCTATCCTCAGCTGCCCAAGAAACTAACTGGGGACCTCGGCTTGGGCATCTGGGAGCCCTTCCTTTCCAATTCGAATCCCCTTGATCCTCTTATGTTGTCTTATTGCTATTGCTAGAACTTCAAGCACTATATTGAAGAGGTATGGCGAGAGTGGACAGCCTTGTCGTGTTCCTGAGTTTAGTGGGATGGCTTTAAGTTTCTCTCCATTTAATTTGATGTGAGCTGTCGGCTTGCTGTATATAGCTTTTATTATATTTAGGTATGACCCTTTCTCTTTCCTGGTTGAGTCTTTGTACGGTTTGGTATCAGAGTAACTGTAGCTTCATAAAAGGAATTTGGCAATGCCTCTTCTGTTTCTATATTGTCAAATACATTAAGGAGTATAGGTATTAGGTCTTCTTGGAAGTTCTGGTAGAATTCCGCATTGAAACCATCTGGTCCTGGGCTTTTTTTGGTAGGGAGGTTTTTGATAACCGTTTCTAATTCTTAGCGACTAACAGGTCTATTTAGATTGTTCACCTGGTCCTGGTTTAACTTTGGTATATGGTATTTATCTAAAAAAGTGTCCATTTCCTTTACATTTTCCAGTTTTGTGGCATATAGGCTTTTGTAGTAAGATCTAATGATTCTCTGAATTTCCTCTGTGTCTGTGGTTATGTCCCCCTTTTCATTTCTGATCTTATTAATTTGCAAATTCTCTCTCTGCCGTTTGATTAGTTTGGATAGGGGTTTGTCAATCTTGTTGATTTTCTCCAGGAACCAGCTTTTTGTTTCATTGAATCTTTGTATTGTTTTCTGTGTTTCTATTTTGTTGATTTCAGCCCTCAGTTTGATTATTTCCAGTCTTCTACTCCTCCTAGGTGAGTCTGCTTCTTTTTTTTTCTAGAGCTTTCAGGTGGGCTGTTAAGTCTCCAATGTGAGCTTTCTTTGTTTTCTTTAAGTGGGCACTTAGTGCTATGAACTTTCCTCTTAGGACTGCTTTCATAGCGTCCCATAAGTTTAAGTATGTTGTTTCTTTATTTTCATTGAATTCCAGGAAGACTTTAATTTCTTTCTTAATTTCTTCCTTAATCCAGGTATGGTTCAGTAGTTGACTGTTCAGTTTCCATGAATTTGTAGGCTTTCTGGGGGTAGCATTGTTGTTGAATTCTAACTTTAATCCATGGTGATCTGATAAGACACAGGTGGTTACTAATATTTTTTTGTAACTGTAGATGTTTGCTTTGTTACCGACTATGTGGTCGATTTTTGAGAAGGTTCCATGAGCTGCAGAGAAGAAGGTATATTCTTTCCTATTTGGGTGGAATGTTCTATAGATGTCTGTTAAGTCCATTTGATTCATTACCTCCATTAATTCTCTTATTTCTCTGTTAGGTTTCTGTCTGATTGACCTGTCTATTGGTGAGAGAGGAGTGTTGAAGTCTCCTACTATTAGTGTGTGCGGTTTGATGGCTGCCTTGAGTTCTAGCAATGTTTCTTTTATATACGTGGGTGCTTTTATATTAGGGGCATAGATGTTCAGGACTGAGACTTCATCCTGATGAACTGTTCCCGTTATGAGTATAAAATGCCCCTCTCCATCTCTTCTGATTGATTTAAGTTTGAAGTCTACTTTGTTAGAGATTAGTATGGCCACACCTGCTTGTTTCTTAGGTCCATTTGCTTGATAAGCCTTTTTCCAACCCTTTACTCTGAGTAGGTGCCTGTCTTTGTGGTTGAGGTGTGTTTCTTGTAAACAGCAGAATGTTGGATCCTGTTTTCGTATCCAGTCTCTTAGCCTGTGCCTTTTAATAGGTGAGCTGAGTCCATTGACATTAAGTGATATTAATGACCAGTGGTTGTTAACTCCGGTCATTTTTTTAGTGGTAGAGTTTGTGTGTTTCCCTTCTTTGATTTGTGTTGGTGAAGGGTCTCTAGATGTCTGAGTTATTGAGGTCATTGTTGGACTTCTTGGTTAGTGATTTTCCTTCTATTACTTTCTGTAAGGCTGGATTTGTGGCTGCGTATTGTTTAAATTTGTTTTTATCCTGGAAAATTTTATTTTCTCCATTTATAGTGAACGAAAGCTTGGCTGGGTATAGTAATCTGGGCTTGCATCCATGGTCTCTCAGTTTCTGCAGTACATCTATCCAGGACCTTCTGGCTTTCATGGTTTCCATGGAGAAGTCAGGTGTAAGTCTGATAGGTTTACCTTTATAAGTAATTTGGCCTTTTTCCTTTGCAGCTCTTAATATTCTTTCCTTATTCTGTATGCTTTGTGTTTTGATAATTATATGGTGATGGGATGTTTTTTTTTGATCCAGCCTATTCGGTGTTCTGTATGCTTCTTGAACCTTCATAGGTATATCTTTCTTTAGGTTGGGAAAGTTTTCTTCTATAATTTTATTAAATATATTTTCTGGACCATTGAGCTGCACTTCTTCTCCTTCTTCTACTCCTATTATTCTTAGGTTTGGTCTTTTTATTGTGTCCCATATTTCCTGAATATTTTGTGATGAGAGTTTGTTGGACTTGCTGTTTTCTTTGATCAGTGTGTTTATTTTCTCTATGGTATCTTCAGAATCTGAGATTCTTTCTTCTAACTCTTGTATTCTGTTGGTTATGCTTGTTTCTGTAGACTCTGTTTGTTTACTTAAATTTTCCATGTCCAGCCGGCCCTCTGTTTGTGTTTTCTTCTTTGCCTCCATTTCAGTTTTCAAGTCTTGCACTGTTTCCATTATCTGTTTGATTGTTTTTCCTTGGTTTTCTAGGGTATTACTCACTGATTTATTCAATTCTTCAAACTTTCTGTTATATTTCTCATCCAATTTTATAAGGGCGTTTTTTACATGCTGTTTAAGGGCGTCAATCACTTTCATGAAGTCAATCTTTTCTACTTCTTCTTGATTAAGGTGTTCATGTCCTCCCGTTGTGAGGTCGCTGGTTTCTGGTGGCTTCATGTTGCTTTTCAGCTTGTTGGGTGAATTCTTGCCTTGGCGTCTGCCCATCTCTTCTTCTGAATACTCCCTTATGGATCTTCTTTACTGGATCAGGTCTCCTTGCCTACCCAATGCTGGCTCTCCCCAACGTTGTTTCTCCTGGTGCCTAGAGATCAGGTCTCCATGCTGGTTGGGTAGCTCGCAAACAAAGCGCCTACCCTGCTTGGTGCAGGCAGGCCATAGAAACAAAGGGACTCCCACCCGCTTGGGTGCCCCTAGGATTCGGACCCAGTGCCCAGACAGGCTGGACTGGGTGATGTTATGTGCTGAAAGAGGGCGGTGGGGCCAAAGTGGGGAGGGTTCTGGATGGAAGCTGGGTGGGCTAGGAAGAAAGAGGCGGTATGCAGGGAGTAGAGGCCCTGCAGAGAGCTCAAGAAGGATAGGGGGCCAAGGAACCTCTGAGCTCCCCTTCCCAGGCTGGCGCTGCGGGGCCAGAAACTCACCCCAATGCTGGGTCTCCTGGTGCCGAGAGATCAGGCCTCCGTGCTGGTGGGCAGGTCGCAAACAAAGCGCCTACCCTGTTTGGTGCAGGCAGGCCATAGAAACAAAGGCTATATTTTCATTTATTGACTGACAAGGGGTAATTATGAGCTGAACTGTTTTTGTGTGACGACCTACCTGTTCTTTTTCACTTGTGCAGGCATTTCAATTTGATACAGAAAGTCAAGTTGGTGCAGACATTAACAAAATATGAGTGTCTGCACAGAAGAAATGACGTATATCATCGCTGTAAAATTCTTTAGTAACGTGGGCAATTCCAAGGAGATTGTTAAGGAAGTCATCATCAGGAAGGATGGGCCTTCTACACAGCCATTATTGCTCCCGGAGGAAATTGAGAAAGAGAACCAAAGGCTCCAAGGACACAGTGCTTGTGCCCCTTGTTCCGTGTGTCCAGACGCTGCTCAGAGCAGAAGTGCAGGTGTTGCGGGCAGCACAAATGACCTCACAGGATATTCCACTTCCAAGAACACACAGAGTCGCACAGAGCAAAATATGGAAGAAAAAATTTCCCAGTTCCCATGTACAGACTCTAAACCATATACCTCAAACGGCAGTGACTTGTTTAGTTGCTGTAGAACAGCAATTGCCGTTGAAAATTTTTGGGAGCTTGGACACAGGAAGATCACTGTGCTTGTGCCTCAGTGGAGAACAAGGTGCAATCCTAATGTCACAGAACAGCACTTCTTGACCCAACTCCAGGAGCTTCGAATGTCACCGTTTACTCGATCCAGGACAGTCTTTGGAGAAGGAATTTCTTCTCATGGTGACACGTTCCTACTACACTTAGCAGAAAAGACTGGGGGTGTCATTGTAAGCAATGATAACTTCAGAGAGTTTGTGAATGAGTCAGTGTCCTGGAGAGAAATTATTGCCAAAAGATGGCTAAAGTACACATTCGTGGGGGACATATTGATGGTTCCCAACAATCCTCTGGGAAGAAAGGGGCCTCAGCTAGATGAATTCCTTGGAAAGGAGGGCTCTGTTAGAGACATGCTGTCTCTACTCAGTGCCCTGCCAAATGTGGACTGGTTTTCCAGGAGCCGTAACAACCAAGTAGCCAACACCAGGCGCCAGCCTCCATATGGGAACCTGGGAGCCTCTTCAGGCTCTTGGCTTCCTCAGCAGCCCCACTTTACGTCCCTGACCAGCATTCTAGGTATACTGGAGAATCGTCTTATGCCAGCACAGAGATATTCTGCTGGGACCAACGAGCTGAGGGAGGCCCTGCTGAAGATCTTCCCTGATTCTGAGCAAAAACAGATGATCGAAGAGATCATGGTAGCTCAGCCAATTCTGAATGAACGTGAACGTTCTTACAGGTGTGATGTTGGACCTAAGTCTGGGCATCAAACTGAATCCCTAGTTACAGGGGTTGAGAGATTTATCGAGATGCTGAAAATACCATATAAGCTGGAATTAAAAAATGAACCCGGCAGAAGAGATTTAAAGCATATTGTTATAGATGGATGTAGTGTCGCATTAACCCATGGTCTGAACAAGTTTTATAGTTGCCGTGGCATAGCAATCGCCGTTGAATATTTTTGGGAGCTTGGACACAGGAACATCACCGTGTTTGTGCCTCAGTGGAGAACAAGGCGCAATCCTAATGTCACAGAACAGCACTTCTTGACCCAACTCCAGGAGCTTGGAATACTAGCATTAACTCCTTCCAGGACGGTCTTTGGAGAACGAATTGCCTCTCATGTTGACTGGTTCCTACTACGCTTAGCAGAGAAGACTGGGGGTGTCATTGTAAGCAATGATAACTTCAGAGAATTTGTGCATAAGTCAGAGTCCTGGAGAGAAATTATTGCCAAAAGATTGCTTCAGCACAGGTTCGTGGGGGACATATTTATGGTTTCCGACAACCCTCTGGGAAGAAAGGGGCCTCAGCTAGATGAATTCCTTGGAAAGGAGGGCTCTGTTAGAGACATGCAGCCTCTACTCAGGGCCCTGCCAAATGTGGACTGGTTTTCCTGGAGCCCTAACAACCAAGTAGCCAACACCAGGCACCAGCCTCCATATGGAAACCTGGGAGCTTCTTCAGGCTCTTGGCTTCCTCAGCAGCCCCACTTCACATCCCTGGCCAGCATTCTGAGTGGAGAGAAAAATCATCTCATGCCAGCACAGAGATCTTCTGCAGAGACCAGTGAGCTGAGGGAGGCCCTGCTGAAGACCTCTGATTCTGAGCAAAGACAGAAGATCGAAGAGATCATAGTAGCTCAGCCAATTCCGAATGAACGTGAACATTCTTTCAGGTCTAATGTTGGACCTAAGTCTGGCCATCAAACTGAATCCCTAGTTACTGGAATTCAGAGATTTAGAGAGATGCTGAAAATACCATATAAGCTGAACTTAAAAGATGAACCCGGCAGATCCGATTTAAAGCATATTGTTATAGATGGATGTAATGTTGCATTTACCCATGGTCTGAAAAAGTTCTTTAGTTGTCGTGGAATAGCAATTGCCGTTGAATATTTTTGGGAGCTTGGACACAGGAAGATCACTGTGTTTGTGCCTCAGTGGAGAACAAGGCGCAATCCTAATGCCACAGAACAGCACTTCTTGACCCAGCTCCAGGAGCTTGGAATACTAGCATTTACTCCTTCCAGGACGATGTTTGGAGAACATATTGCCTCTCATGATGACAGGTTCCAACTACACTTAGCAGAAAAGACTGGGGGTGTCATTGTAAGCAATGATAACTTCAGAGAGTTTGTGAATGAGTCAATGTCCTGGAGAGAAATTATTGCTAAAAGGTTACTTCAATACACTTTTGTGGGGGACATATTTATGGTTCCCAATGACCCTCTGGGAAGAAAGGGGCCTCAGCTAGATGAATTCCTTGGAAAGGAGGGCTCTGTTAGAGACATGCAGTCTCTACTCAGGGCCCTGCCAAATGTGGACTGGTTTTCCTGGAGCCGTAACAACCAAGTAGCCAACACCAGGCACCAGCCTCCATATGGGAACCTGGGAGCCTCTTCAGGCTCTTGGCTTCCTCAGCAGCCCCACTTTACGTCCCTGACCAGCATTCTAGGTATACTGGAGAATCGTCTTATGCCAGCACAGAGATATTCTGCTGGGACCAACGAGCTGAGGGAGGCCCTGCTGAAGATCTTCCCTGATTCTGAGCAAAAACAGATGATCGAAGAGATCATGGTAGCTCAGCCAATTCTGAATGAACGTGAACGTTCTTACAGGTGTGATGTTGGACCTAAGTCTGGGCATCAAACTGAATCCCTAGTTACGGGGGTTAAGAGATTCAGAGAGATGCTGAAAATACCATACAAGCTGGAATTAAAAAATGAACCCGGCAGAAGAGATTTAAAGCATATTGTTATAGATGGATGTAGTGTCGCATTAACCCATGGTCTGAACAAGTTTTTTAGCTGCCGTGGCATAGCAATCGCCGTTGAATATTTTTGGGAGCTTGGACACAGGAACATCACCGTGTTTGTGCCTCAGTGGAGAACAAGGCGCAACCCTAATGCCACAGAACAGCACTTCTTGACCCAACTCCAGGAGCTTGGATTGTTATTTTTAACTCCTTCCAGGAAGGCCTTTGGAGAACGAATTGCTTCTCATGATGACAGATTCCTACTACACTTAGCAGAGAAGACTGGGGGCGTCATTGTAAGCAATGATAACTTCAGAGAGTTTGTGAATGAGTCACCGTTCTGGAGAGAAATTATTGCCAAAAGATGGCTACAATACACGTTCGTGGGAGACATATTTATGGTTCCCGACGACCCTCTAGGAAGAAAGGGGCCTCGGCTAGATGAATTCCTTGGAAAGGAGGGCTCTGTTAGAGACATGCAGCCTCTACTCAGGGCCCTGCCTAATGTGGACCGGTTTTCCCGGAGCCGTAACAACCAAGTAGCCAACACCAGGCACCAGCCTCCATATGGAAACCTGGGAGCTTCTTCAGGCTCTTGGCTTCCTCAGCAGCCCCACTTCACATCCCTGGCCAGCATTCCGGGTAGAGAGAAAAAACATCTCATGCCAGCACAGAGATATTCTGTAGAGACCAGCGAGCTCAGGGAGGCCCCGCTGAAGATCTTCCATGATTCTAAGCAAAAACAGAAGATCCACAAGATCATGGTAGCTCAGCCAATTCTGAAAGAACCTAAACGTCCTTTCTGGTCTAGTGTTGGACGTAAGTCTTGGCTGAGAGCCCAAGGCTGATGCGGACCTGAGTGAGCTGCTAACTGTGGACAACCATTGTGGGAAGAAGCCTTCCAGAATGAATGGGGCTGCTCTGGATTTCCTAACAAATGAAAGGAATGTGTTTTATGTTTACACAAATATGGATTTTCCAAGCCAGTTTTACTTCTATGTATAAAATTTGCTGCTAATACAGATTTATCCTTTTCTGTAAAAGGAAAGTGCATTTTCTGCCTTTTCAGAACTGTGTATCAGCAGTTACTCTTGAGTGTACTTTCAACTTTATGTTTTTAAAACTATTGTCTTAGAGTTATAGAAAAATTGACAAGTGAATATGTTTAGCCTTTTTAAATAAAATTAAAATATTATAAAGAAAAATTTTTCAGTGTCTTATACTCAACTTTGTGCTCTTCATAGAAGCAATATGGGTCTTAGAGGGCTCTGCTCCACCTTGCCATTCAGAAGCCGAGGTTTCACAAGTTATCCTTGCTTATCATACAAAATGTAAGAGCCAAATCTGTAAGGTGGGAAATTATTATATGGTCGAGTTAATCAGCATATGTTATGCTGGAAAGAGGCACGACTTTAGTAAATAATTTTTTTAAAAAATATTTCTGTGTATGAGTTTTTTTCCTGCAAGTGTGTAAGTGTACTGCACATGTGCCCTGTACCATGAAGGTCAGAACGCATTGGATTCCCTGGTTCCGGAGTAACAGATCATTGTGAGCCACCATGTGATGCTGGAAACTCAAATTTGGTCACTTGTAAGAGTAGCCAGTGCTCTTACCACTAAATCACATCTCAGCACAGAAAATAAAGTTTAAAAAATGCTAAGTCTTTGTTTTTGTTCTATTTTAATATCTTGATACTAAAATTCTGAGAATATATTAAAATATAATTACTAAAATGTACAAATAAATGGCAATGTTATAATTTATGACTTTTAGCATTCATAAACAGATAATGAGTTATAACTCAGATCAAAATATTGGACATTGATATAATCCAATAAAGATGTTGGATCTATCTTCTTTCCATTTTTTGTTTCTCATTAGAAACCATGCCTTTGAGAATCTCAACATAGTTTTTTGATTATATTCACCGTTACAACTCCTCATGGATTTAAAAACACTTCCCAAGCAGCAGAGACCAGCATGCAGACAAAAGCGGCAGAGACCGGAGCGCAGATGCTTCTCATGTTGACAGGTTCCTACTACGCTTAGCAGAAAAGACTGGGGGTGTCATTGTAAGCAATGATAACTTCAGAGAGTTTGTGACTGAGTCAATGTCCTGGAGAGAAATTATTGCCAAAAGATTGCTTTAGTACATGTTCATGGGCGACATATTTATGGTTCCTGACGACCCGCTGGGAAGAAATGGGCCTCGGCTAGAAGAATTTCTTGGAAAGGAGGGCTTTTCTGGAGACATGCAGCCATTACTCAATGCCCTACCAAATGTCGGCACTTTCCAAGCTAGTCCTAACACCCAAGTATCCAATACCAGGCACCAGCCTCCATTTGGGAACCAGGGAGCCTCTTCAGGCCCTTGGCTTCCTCAGCAGCCCACTTCACATCCCTGACCACCATTCATAGTATATATCAGGACCATCTCATGCCAGAACAGAGATCTTCTGCAGAGACCAGCGAGCTGAGGGAGACCCTGCTGAAGATTTTCCCTGACTCTGAGCAAAAATCTGAAGATTGACAAGATCCTGGCTGCTCAGCCGTTCCTGAAAGACCTGAATGTCCTTTCTGACCTGGTGTTGGACCTAAGTCTGGGTTGAGAGCCAAGACTGATGGGGACCCAAGTGAGCTGCCAACTGTGGACAACCATGGTGGGAAGAAGCCTTCCAGAGTGAACAGGGCTGCTCTGGATTTCCTAACAAATGAAAGGAATGTGTTTTATGTTTACACAAATCTGGAGTTTTAAACCCAGCTTTATTTCTATGTATAAAATTTGCTGCTAATACAGATTTAACCTTTTGTGTAAAAGAAAAGTGCATTTTCTGCCTTTTCAGAACTGTTTATCAGCAGTTACTCTTGAGTATACTTTCAACTTTATGTTTTTTATCTATTATCTTTGAGCTGAAGGAAAATTGACAAGTGAATATGTTTAGTCTCTCTAAATAAAATTAAAAAATAAAAAATATATCAGTGTATCAGCACTCAATTTTTTGCTCTTCCTAAAAACAATATGGGCCATAGAGGGCTCTGCTTCACCTTGCCTCTCAGAAGCCCAGGTTTCACAGGTTTTTTTTGCCTTTCATACAAAATGTAAGAGCCAAAACTAGAAAGTGGAAAATGATTATAGGCATGACTTAATCAGCATACATTATACTTCAAAGATCCATGACTTAAGGACATTATTTTTTTTTAATTTAAGTGTATGACTTTTCTCCTGCATGTGTTTAAGTGTACTGCACATGTGCCTCACACCATAGGTCAGAAAAAGGCATTGGATTCTCTGGTTCTGGAGTAATAGGTAATTGTGGGCCATCAGGTGATGCTGGAAACCCAAGTATGGTTATTTGTAAGAGTAGCCAGTGCTCTTTCCCCTAAATCACATGTCAGTCCAGAAACTACAGTTTTAAAATGCTGTCTTTGCTTTTGTTCCACTTTAATATCTGATACTAAAATAATGAGAATATATTAAAATATAATTAACAAAGTGTATAAATAAATGGTAATGGTATAATTCATGACATTTAGCATGTATCAATAGCTATACAGTTATAACTCAGATCAAAATATTTGACATTGATATAGTTCCAGGTTGATTCATCTTCTTTCAATTTATTTTTCATTGAAAACCATGCCTGTGAGAATCTCACACACTGCGTTTTGTTTATATCCACCTTTCCTCACAACTCCTCCTGGATTTAAGACCACTTTCCTAGTGAACGTGGCTTTCTGTCTTTTTCGATCCATCTTGGTCAATCTGTCTGGCCCAGATGCTATCACATGTGTAATTGACAGGTCAGATGATTGACCCAGAAAGAACTTAAGAAATTAGACATCCAAATTCCAAATAAACCAATTAAATAGCTTGGTCCAGAACTAAAGAGAGAATTCACAACAGAAAACTCTCAAATGGCTGGAAGACACTTAAGGAAATGTTCAGTATCCTTAGCCAAATTAGAGAAAAACAATGGAAACAACTCCGTGATACCATCTTATACCCGTCAGAATGGCTAAGATCATAAACATCAGTGATAGCCTTTGCTAGAGAGATGTGGAATAAGGGAAACACTCTTCCACTGCTGGTGGGAATGCAAACTTGTGCAACCACTTTGGAAAGCAGTGTGGCGGTTTCTCAGGAAATTGGGAGTCAACCTACCTCAGGATCCAGCAATACCACTCTTGGTACCCAAGAGATACCCAATCATACTACAAAAGCATTTGTTCAACTATCTTCATAGCAGCATTATTTGTAATAGCCAGAACCTGGAAACAACCTAGATGCCCTCACTGGAAGAATGGATAAAGAAAGTGTAGAATATATATATACACACACATTAGAGTACTACTCAGCGGTAAAAAATAATGACATCTTGAATTTTGCATGCAAATGTATGGAAATAGAAAACACTACCCTGAGTGAGATAAGCCATACTCCAAAAGATGAATATGGTATGTATTCACTCATTAGTGGACTCTAGCCATAAACAAAGGACATTAAGCCTATAGTTTGTAATCCTAGAGAAGCCAAATAACAAGGTGAACCAAAGGAAAACATACATATAGCTCCTTCTGAAAATTGGAAGAAAACAAGATTGCCGGGCAAATGTTGAGAGCATGGGTGTGAGGGTAAGAGTGGGGTTGGGGAGGGGGAGGGGGAGAGGGAGAGAGAAGGGAGAAAGGAAAGACAGGAGAGAGCTGGGGGGTGGGAGGGTGGAGATGGAGAAAGGGCGGATATAGGAGCGAGGAAGAAGATATCTACATTAAGGGAGCCATTTTAGGGTTGGCAAGAGACTTGGCTCTAGAGAGGTTGCCAGGTGTCCACAGGGATCTCCCCAGCTAGGTCCTTGGGCAGCAGAGCTGAGGGTGCCTGAACTGGCCTTGCCCCACTATCACACTGATGATTATCTTGAATATCACCATAGAATCTTCGTCCGGCGACGGATGGAGATAGAGACAGAGACCCTCATTAGAGCAATGGACTGAAATCCCAAGGTCCAGTTGAAAAGCAGAAGGATGGAGAAGATGAGCAAGGAAGTCTGGACCATGAGGGGTTGGTCCACCCACTGAGACAGTGTGCCTGTTCTAATGGGAGCTCACCAAATCCAGCTGGACCGGGTCTGAATGAGCATGGAATCAAACCGGACTCTCTGAATGTGGCTGACAGTGGGGGCTGACTGAGAAGCCATTGATAAAGGCACTGGGACTTGTTTCTACTGCTTGTACTGGCTTTTGGGGACCCTAGTCTATTTGGATGCACAGCTTCCTAGGCCTGAATGTAGGGGGGAGGGCCTTGGACTTCCCACAGGGCAGGGTTCCCTTCCCTCTCTTAAGGAGGGAGGGGGAGGGAGGAGGGTGAGTGGGGGAGCAGGAGGGGAATGGGAGGAGGGGAGGAAGTATAAGTTTTTGAATGGAAAAAAATAAAATAGAAGGATGCAGCTTGAAAAAAAAAACGTTTTCCGTTAAATTGAGGCCATTTCTCAAGAAAAAGAGCACTTGATCATGTCTACTTGATCTCTGCCCATAGATGCTTATCTGCTCCATATTCACTGCTAGGGAAATATTTTCTTCACAAAAAGTCTTTTAGTATGTTTAAAGGACAATATCACTGACAGAATTCTGGTGGAATAGCATGGGTGTCAGTCATGACCTGCTGTTGCTGTAACACACTCAGCTGGTAGAAACTCTCCAGATTCCCATGTTCTGTCTCTTCTACCCAGGCTTGCAGTTTAGTTATGTTTTGCATTAGTCAATAAGGATCAATAAAGGAAACAAGTGGAGGCTTGGCAAAACTGTATACTATAAGAATGGTTGGTTCTTTTGGTATTCTTTCCTGGGATCTTCATCTATGAAGAAGTCTAGGGCAAAGATGAAGTAGAGAGGAGTGTCTCAGATGCTGAGGAGTGCTGTGCTTTGTTCTGGTGAACATCAGGAACAGTGATGAGATTGCACCAATCCAGGAGAGTGACAAACAATGAATCGTTATTCAGAGTCGTTAAATTTTAGGGTGATTTGCTTGGAAAGTACAGGTAACTACATCAAGGTATACCAGAAGCCCAAGATTATCCATTGAGCTCTATTCTGAATGTATTCATCGCCTGCTTCCTTGTGTGTAAAAAAAGGGACTCTGAATAAATTTTAGCAATTCTTCCTGTTAACAAAAGCAAAACTGACTCTTCCTTTTCTCCTGCAGTAGTTTCATGGCCCCTTCCGGCACTGTGGAAGCCTATCAATGGAGTTGAGGCCCCAGGTAGAACCAGCTTCATCTCCCCAGATCCTGTGAGTAAAGCCACAATTTCTTCAACAACAGGGTTTTATTGTCACATTCTGTAAGGTGTACTAGGTGTGAATCTGACAGAGGGTTAGTATCTAGAATATACAAAGAACTAAAGAAACTAAACAACAAAACCTAAAAACAATTAAAATTGAGGCATAGATTTGGTACACTTTCTGTCCTCTTCAGATGCCAGACACATACATGGTATGTAGATGTACGCATAGACAAAATACCTGAACACACGCAGTAAAAAGGAATTTCTAAAAAAAGAAGTACAAATGACTGTGTTTTAAATGTTCAGTTTTTAATTGTCCTTAGCCATCAAGGCAATGCAAATTAAACTCCTTGGAGATTTCATCTTCACCTAACATAACTGGTAAGATAAAAATATGATGGAGAATGTAGACAAGGATGTGGGGGTGGTGACTGCGTGACCATTGCTGGTGGGAGCGTGAAGTAGTGCAATCACTCTGGAAATCACTCTGGAGATTGCTCAAAAAGCTAGAACAGTTTCACCACATGACCTACTGGTATCTTCCTTAGTAACCCACCCAAAGACTGGATATCCTACTGTAGACATAATTGCACCTCCTTGTTCATGGGTGCTCTATTCCCTATGCCAGATGGCCATCAACTGATGAATGGACAGTGAAAAATGTGTACATTACACAAAACAATATTATTCATGTGTTAAAAATAAAATTATGAAAATTGGAGGTAAAGTTGGGAACAATCATTCTGAGTGAGGTACCTGAGACCTAGAAAGACAATTGTCCCACACTTCCTATCATTTGTGGATGTTAGCTGGAATCTTCTGACATATGTATTCAGTTTAGAATCCCCATAGAAGTCAGAAAGTCACTAAGAAGGAAAGTTTAAGGAAGGAAGGTAGAACATATTGGTATAAAGGGTTACAAAGGGAAAACGGAACAAGAAGCATTAAATGGGGTGGGAGAAAGAGCAACATAGGAGAAAAAAAAATACAAAAAACCCAGGATAACCAAACAATCCTGTACAATAAATGAACTGCCGGAGGTATCAGCATTTCTGACATAAGCTCTTTAGTAGAACTATGGTAATGAAAAAAGCTTGTTATTGACATAAGAACAGAGAAGTTAACCAATATAATCGAATCAAAGATCCAGATATTAATCCACACACCTTAAAACCTGGGTTTTAACAAAGGAGCTAAAAACATACGATGGAAAAAACAAAGCATCTTCAACAATTTTTGTTACATAACTGGATGTCAACATTAGAAGAATGCAAATAGATCCATATCTATCCCCACGACAAAACTCAAGTCCAGATAAATTAAAGACCTCAATA